ATGGTTAGCTAAAAGAAATGAACTAAGTTTTAAAACAAATCTGTTCACAAGCTTCAATGCCTTGACACTGATAAAAATGCTCGAAAAACCCTTAAATCTTTTAAGTTTTTTTAAATATTGTATTTTTAGGAGAAAAAATAAAAATAGCATTAAAATTCACAAAGATATTCACACATTTGCATGTTATACATTTTTCACCAATTGCTATTCATTAATAATTGGAGCATAACGATTTTTCCCTACAGCACAGGAATTTTGTTATAAGGAAAGAACGGCGGAGACAAAAATATCTGTATGTAATGTGATATGAATAGTCCGTTTTCTGGTTATAATTTTATACAAAAAGAATTTCTTTGAAATAAATGGTCAGAGGCAAAATAATCTTCCATACATAGAATAATTTGAAGAAATACGATAAATATACTGAGATGACGATAAAATTTGACCTTATAGTCTAAAAAGATTTAAAAATTTACATTCGAAGTTGATATTCTCACATTGTTTCATAAAATTTAAACTGCTGTATGTAGCATATTTTCCACAATCAGCATTTTATATGAAATGTAACTGAATAATAATCATTTATAAATATAACTATGAAATCTCATGGATCAAATCAATATGTCAAAAAATCTCATAGGTAATTCCTCTTTTGGATATCCAATAAAAATAATGACAGAATAAAAGTCTTGATGGCTTGATGTCCGAGGCGTTAAGATGTCGTCCTACCCTGGCCCGTCAGTGGCCGAGTGTGTATAAAATCACTATGACAAAGTAAAAGCCTAGAAAATTCCACGTGACCGAATGGTTGGCTGGCCATTTAGAGTTTTCTGGGTTTTCTTCACGTTACTAACAGCTAAATAGGACTAGTTTTCCATAAAAAAAAACCTCCTGAGAGGCAGATGGCTCATGTGTCGAGTAAAACCAAACCATCCCACCGCTGTGGGGATCCAAAATCAACTCCCGTGTGCAACCCCAGGTATTTTTCGGAGTTCTGTTGGGGATGTGTTAGGCCCCATCTCTAATCATTCGGCAAATGCTTAGCACAAGAATAAAATCTCCTAGATTCGTGAAATTGAACAATGTGGGCTCCCGTCGTGAGTCTTGCCGAACACATGATGGGCATAGATAAATGGCCCTCTTACTGCCCATTGAGTGGAAAGAATGAAAAAAAAGAAAGAAAGAGCCAAATTTGTAATAGTGTACTGTATTTGCAAATGAACATTTTTGTAAGAAATTCAGAACAAAAATTTTGAAAATAATACCACCTTTATCGTGGGTTTGTATAATTTTGATTATTGTGTTAAAATTGATTAGAGCAAAAAGAATAACTCGAAAACATATAGGCCTATATTTTTCGTTTTTAATTTTTGAAATTAATATTACAATATTTTCATCGAAAAATACTGTATTAGGTTATTTTATATTAAAAAAATATATCGAATATAATTGAAATTTTAAAAAATCAAATCTATATTATTACGAAAAAGATATCTTTGATAATTTTAACATACAAGATCATTTTCTTTATTTTAGTAGAAATGTAAATAATTCATCTTCAATGAATTTTGTACATTGCTGTGATTTATGTAAATCAACTCAGACGATATAATCAAGGGAAATGGCAATGAATCTTTCGATTTTACTGACAATTGGACGGTGTTGTGCAAAATTAGTGTAAGTCAATTTTTTTTCAATTTTAGATTTGTTAAATTTTAAGCATGTAAATGATTTATTCGTAATGTTTTTTGTAGGATCAGAATGGAACAGAACGAGGTAGTGCAAGAAGAGAGCCGATTGCAACGCTGTTTGAGATGTCTCTTAAACTGGAAGTCCATTTATCATTTCCTATTACTCTATTTTCCAGTAGCTATAATTNAGTGAGAAAGGTTAAATAGGCCTTCTGTTATGCAAATATTGACCTTTAATTTTCCAACCTTCCTCACTACTTTTTATCTTTTGGCCTTTCTCTCCTTTTCTCAAATTTGGGTCTATAATCCTTTGAGTTCCAACTCCAGCATTATTTAGTATTCCTTCCAGCGTTGCAATATTTGACTACTTTGCGCCAAATTTCCCTACCCTTTTTTAGTTTGGCGTAAATATTATCATTTGGCACATTGGCTACTTTCTGGGCTACATATTATTTATAAATATATTAGTCGAATAAAAATTCACTTTAAAATGGTGTTTCGTGGTTTTTTATTAATTCGAGTCCAAATAAAACAAAATATTTGTGTTTTTCAAATAAATTTTTGTTTGTCTCCTTTATAATAAATGAAATTATTTATTTCTAAGTAAAAATTGAAAGTGTCTGTAGAAGTAATTTTTTAAAATATCCTTTTTCGTGATAAAGTTTTAATACTTATTACTATAATCTAGACTTGTTAATCACAAATATATTATATATACTTGTGGCCCAAAACTTCCAATGTGGCCCAGAGGAACAAAAAGGTTGGACACCCCTGTTCTAAAGTATATATTTTTTGGTTTTTATATTTTTCAATATATTTATTTTGTTTGTAAGAAGTAAAGAAATAATTCTTAACGATACAATAGCCACGATTATTATTTTAAAAAGTATACGTTAGGCTTAACATCGACGAAAATTCAACACGAAGCGACACGCAACGGAGAAAAATTTCAACACGGGATAGGTTAATATATTTTTTCGTACATAATCGGTTATCCGAAAAATAAGTTATCCGAACAACCTCAGTCCCCAATTGATTCGGATAAACGACGATCTACTGTATATGGAAATTTTAAAGTTCAAATACGTAGTTAAAGTTCAAATTCAACCTCCTGTGTTCCATAAAACAAAGTCAAGTGTAAATAACAAAATGAATTTATTACCAAAAGTTAGGTACAAACCTGGTTATTTTTCGACATAATCACTGTTAAGATTGAGGCATTTGTCATATCTGTAGACGAGCTTTTCCATCCCCTCTTCATAGAATGTTGCCAAGTTCTTTTACTCTACCTAAGTTTGAGAAAAGTCTATCTTTATCTTGCAGAAAAAATATACGATTCTCTACTATCCTTGACACAATTCACTGTGAGGTAGGTCGAGATAATTCCTCAGGATGCGGCCCTTGTTATCGCAGTTTTAGTTTCATGCAGTATTCAGAACTTTCCTTCTTCTGACATCTTCGAGCATAGTTAGACCACTTCATATACTAACATTAATGCCTGGTAACCAAATATAGTTAGAAATTCTCTAGTTCGTTGATATTAGTATATTAGCTGATGTTACATGCTCCATTACGACTGGAGCACACTGTAGCATCTTTGAAGTAGAAGAATATCTTTCGTCTCAAACTCCACTTCTTTATATACAAGTGTATTTGATATTTCCTATTGTTTACGATACAAGTTAAACTCATTTTAGTTTCATGTCAAATAAGCTTATCGGCACGTCCTTCATCCGATAGACATTGCTAAAGTCGCCATTGCTTAGTGGACTCGATTCCAAGATACTAGATCAGGGCTTCTTAAACTATGGGTCGTGACCCCATTTGGGGTCGCTTAGCGAAATCTTGGGGTCTCGAGATTTTAATGCAAAATATTGAAAATAATTTGTGAGATTTTGAAAATGGCACGCTTTGTGTCACTTCTGGTGCAGCGAGACAACGGTTTAGCAACACTGTAGTGTGAACTAGTGTAGTGTTGTCGCTTTTCAGTGTATTCAGTTGTCTCTGTTCCATTGTAACACAATAGTGAACTGTGGAAATACACCATTATTGTTTACACCAAATTTGTATATATCTTTTATTTTATATTTTTTGGGTCGCGAAAAAAAAATCACAGTTATAAATGGGGTCGTGAATAAAAAAGTTTAAGAAGCCCTGTACTAGATGATGGCCTGTCCCCAGATGCCTGTCTACACAATGTCTACAAAATTTGCTTGGTTTGATAATATCAAAATTATACTTTATCAGGGATACCGAAAACGCGGGAAACTGGCAACCACGGGCCCTTAATTAATGATTCTTACGCTTACAAATTAGTATTATTTTCACTAATTAAAAACAAAATATTTAAGAGTGCTACTTTTATTAATAAAGAAAGATTCTACGAATTTTGTTTGTTCAAAAATAAATGGCAAAAGAGGCCCGCTCCTCTTCCCTATCCCGTAAAATCTATCGGCGGCCGGCCCTGTATTCTACTTCAAATAAAAACAATTGAACAATAGTGACAATTTGTTTTCGACTTGATCATGTCACATTTCTTGAATGATATCGCAATTTATACATGATATATATATAACAGCCGGAAAGTAAAATGATGGGAAAAGTACGGCGATCGATCAAAAACTAACCCCCCTTCCCAAAAAGTTTTTACATTATTGGACTTCGGAAACCTTAAACGTCGAGAAATGGAAAAAAAATCGAGGGTAATTTCTGTATATATGAATGTTTATGTGTGTGGGAAGACATTGTTTTGTTTACCCTCTTTTTGAAGCTCAATAACTTCTGTGCTTATTGTAAAAAAATTCTGAAATTATAAGGGGAGGTTTATTATGGGATTGATGCAGTTAAATTTGGTGGTTAAAAGGTCGACGGGGTGGGAGATAATGGGGGCGTGTATATTACCAATNTATTTCATAACCACAAAGTACGTTAAAATATAAAAATAATCGCACGACATGTATTTGGATTTTAGAAAATACAAGGAAATCAGCGCTTCTACAACTTCTATGGACGGCACGCCACAGTTACTTGTACATAAATGTTACGAGTAGTCAAAACACGTGTCTACAGAACTGATTAAGAAACTAAAAATTAAAGTTTAATGATGATTTCAATGGGAAATCACTAAAGCGAGTATATTCGGATGGTCATAAAGTATGGTATGTCTGTTATTATGTAGAGAGTTCTCGGGGGAGAAACCACCTAGATAAATCACGTGACGTTTGTTTTATCCAGCAAATAAAGACCAGATTTTATTCAAAACATACTGTTTCAATAAAATCTGGGCTTTTTTTGACTAAACAATTTAGTTACAAAAATCGGCTGTATAATAGCCAGAATAATAGCATTTGCAGCAATTTTTAAAATTTACTAAAACGGATTTGAAATATATGAAAAAAAAATTTTAAAAATTTAACTAATAATCCAATCTTACTATTGATACTAATTTTACTTAAACTCATAAAACGTAAACATTTGAAATCGACCGATTAAAAGAGTAAAAAAAATTAACAAAATTAAAGATATTGGAAGTACTTTTATTTAAAAAACCAAAAAACTTATAAAATCGAAAAATAGGACTATTTGCTAAATTTTTTTTTTAAACCGAATATAAATCCATTCGTTGTAGAAAACGGCGTCACGAGTTTTGTCACTCAGTAACTTCACTGAACAGGATGTTCTCTTACTCTTACAGAGTCTGCTTCCATTACATATTCGACTGCAGGTTCAGGATTGGCGTTGTAAAATCGTCGAGCCCATTGAGGTGAAAATTCCTTTATACAAGCATAGATCATGTTGCAAGCAATCACAATAAACGGGAAACAAAATAAAGCCAGAAGAAAAGCTTTTAAGTACTGGTTACGCAACACCAAACCGAAATAAAGGAAAGCACAAAGCACAACCAGAGTTACTGGAAAATAAACAAATATAAAGTGATAAGTGGATTTCCAATTTAAGAGACGTCTAAAACACCGTTGCAATCGGCTCTCTTGGTTTTCTTCCTGCACTACCTCGTTCTGTTCCATTCTGATCCTACGGAATACATTANAAGTGCTGTATTGTCGAATACGGGATAGCTTCCACGGCCAAAATATTTGAATAGTGTAAAGCATCCAGATTATACACGTGAGCTTTACAGATCACCAACCTCTGACGGTTTAGTTTGTGGTTGCTACATACCAAAATATCGTATAACGCTTTCAATGATTGGATGGAAACATTTAGCCACTGGTAGGGAGCTATTTGACTAAGTGCATTGTTTGAATATTCTTTTACTTTTTCAATCTTAAATGTTATTTTTTAATGTTCGTTTCTTTACAAAGCTATATTTAATCATAATTTTCTTTTAATTATATTGACAGATTTTCGGACATAAAATCTTTTAAAATTTTTATCACTTTTGTAATTGATGGGGGAAGAGAAAGAGAGAGAGAGAAAAATCAATTTTACAAGATTGAATTTATTTGAATATTCTTTTACTTTTTCAATCTTAAATGTTATTTTTTAATGTTCGTTTCTTTACAAAGCTATATTTAATTGTAATTTTCTTTTAATTATATTGACAGATTTTCGGACATAAAATCTTTTAAAATTTTTATCACTTTTAGATGTTAATAANAGGAAAGCACAAAGCACAACCAGAGTTACTGGAAAATAAACAAATATAAAGTGATAAGTGGATTTCCAATTTAAGAGACGTCTAAAACACCGTTGCAATCTGCTCTCTTGGTTTTCTTCCTGCACTACCTCGTTCTGTTCCATTCTGATCCTACGGAATACATTACGAATAAATCATTTACACGTTTAAAATTTAACAAATCTAAAAAAATTGACTTACACTAATTTTGCACAACACCGTCCAATTGTCAGTAAAATCGAAAGATTCATTGCCATTTTCCTTGATTATATCGTCTGAGTTGATTTACATAAATCACAGCAATGTACAAAATTCATTGAAGATGAATTATTTACATTTCTACTAAAATAAAGAAAATGATCTTGTATGTTAAAATTATCAAAGATATCCTTTTTCGTAATAATATAAATTTGATTTTTTAAAATTCCGATTATATTCGGTATTTTGTATAACCCACTATAAAGGTAGTATTGTTTTCAAAATTTTTGTTCTGAATTTCTTATAAAAATGTTCATTTGCAAATACAGTATACTATTACAAAATTGGCTCTTTCTTTCATTTTTAATTCTTTCCGCTCAGTGGTCACTAACAGGGCCATTTATCTATGCCCGTCATGTGTTCGGCAAGACTCACGATAGGAGCGCACAGTGTTCAATTGCGCGACTCTAGGACACTTTATTCCTGTGTTAAACATTTGCCGGATGATCAGAGAAGGGTCCTGACATATCCCCAAAAAATACCTGGGGTTGCACATAGGAGTTGATTTCGGATCCCCACAGTGCTGGATTGGTTTGGTTTTACTCGACACGAGCCATCTGCCATATGTCTCTCAAGAGGTTTTTAACGCCTCGGACATCAAGTCATCAAGACTTTTATTATATCCTTATTTTTACTCGATATCCAAAAGAGGAATTACCCATGAGATTTTTGACACATTGATTTGACCCATGAGATTTCATAATTAAGTTTACAAATGATTATTACTTAGTTACATTTTATATAAGTTGCTGACTGTTTAAATTGCAAAATATGCTATACAGTGGTTTAAATTTTATGAAACAATGTGAGAATATCAACTTTGAATCTAAATTTTTAAATCTTTTTAGACCATAAGGTCAATTTTTATCGCCATCTCAATATATTTATCGAATTTCTTTAAATTGTTCTATGTATGGAAGATTATTTTGTCTCTGACCATTCATTTCAAAGTAATTTTTTTTGTGTGTAAAATTATAACCAGGAAAGGGACTATTCATATTACATTACATACAGATATTTTTGTCCCCGCCGTTCTTTCCTCATAATAAAATTCCTTTGCTGTCGGGAATAATCGTTATGTTCCAATTATTAATGAATAGGAATTGGTGAAAAATGTATAACATGCAAATGTGTTAATATCTACGTGAATTTTAACGGTTTTTGAAGCATTTTTATCAGTGTGAAGGTATTGAATCTTGTGGACAGATTTGTTTTAAAACTTTCATTTCTTTAGCTAACCATTTTTTCCTTATACAGAGATACTTCGGTTTCCCTCGATAATCCATTCGAAAACAATCGGCGAAATCCGAATCCGACGAAAACCGAGGTAATTATTTCCTTATGAATCAATGTAAATCCAATTAATTCGTTCCAGACACTCCAAAATATGTAGGCTGTTTTTTCAAGCTTCGATGGTTCATAAAGAAAACAAGTGTAAATAACAAAATGAATTTATTACCAAAAGTTAGGTATGAAACATGGTTACTTTTCGACATAATCACCGTTAAGATTGGGGCATTTGTCATATCTCTGGACGAGCTTTTCCATCTTCTTGCCATAGAATGTTGCTGCCAGTGACTTGAGATGAACCCTAACGTTGTTTTGAAGATCGTCGTTAGTCTCAAACCTCTGCCCTCCTAGCCACGTTTTCAGTTCAGGAAAGAGGTGGAAGTCTTCACACATTAAAGGTGTGAAGACTTTCACCTTTCAGACTTCCACCCAGCTTGGAACTTTTTAAACACCCAGCGTATTGTCCCTATTTCGCGCCGAGCGACTTCCATCTCTTCCCTGAACTGAAAACGTAGCTAGGAGAGCAGTGGTTCGAGACTAATGACGATGTTCAAAACAATGTTAAGGTCCATCTCAAGTCACTGGCGGTAACATTCTATAAAGAATAAAGAGGGGATGGAAAAGCTCGTCCAGAGATATAACAAATGCCTCAATCTTCACAGTGATTATGTCGAAAAATAACCATGTTTGTACCTAACTTTTGGTAATAAATACATTTTGCTATTTACACTTGTCTTTGTTTTATAGACCATCGGAGCTTGAAAAAATCGTTCTCGGACATACCACAAATATATTTTATAGAGAATATAGTGTTTAATACTAAAAACAATAATAAATTAATATAAAACAAATACAAAAGACTAATGTAAAGAATAAATAAACATTTAACATGGCATTCGAAGGGCTGCTGGCTTTGGGAACTTTCTTTGGTTCCATGATGGAGCTTGTTTGTTTGTATGTTTAGTTAAGTTACGGCAACACAACACTTGGCGATCTGCCTAGGGGATGCCTCCCGGGAGGTCTTTCTAAGGGTAACTGACCCCAGGCGTTACAGCCGTAGAGAAAACTCGGAAAACTCCACGTGGCCAGCCCGTTCTGGCGAGGCGCTAACCCACAACAGAACTCCCAGTGTTCAGGGAATGGAACCGCTTGGTCACTGGTGGGCCCCCATAATGGAGCTAAAACGAAAGGAAAGCAATGGAATTGTTTCGCTAGACGCGTGGAGTAATGCTTACACAACGCCACACTGAGAAGGAAAACGCGTCGATCGCCCTTTGTTTTCGCGCCAGATTATTTCCTGTTTCTCTTCTTTTACTTGATGATAACCGAAAATTACACAACCGATATTACTTATCAACATTCAATAAACTTTATACTTCTTTCTTTGATTAACAGATTTTAAATCTCTGAAATTCCGACATAAAATGAAAAAATGAAGTACACGCTTCTCCATAACCCGTTGTCAAATCGCCGATTTTGAAGAAACTGTTTGAAATCATAGATAAGACTAAAAATTAGCAATTATAAATGTTGTTATGGCTTTTTTTATTAACATTTTTTTTTTAATTCTGTTTAATTATTGAAGATAAAACTCTGTTCTAAACGATACGCTAACAATTCAAAACATTAATTTGAAATAAAAAAATTAGATGAAATTAAAAATTTTTTTTATTGAACCCAAAATTATAAACTGTAGAAAAATATTTCCAGAGTTAAAATATTAAAAATTTACACAAAATCATGATGAATTCGTCAACGTGTTTCTGAAAATCCATTTTGGCAAAATGGAGAACAAACACTTACAATAGTGGCTTTTAAACTGTACAATTCATTTGAAAAATCAAATTATTATACAAATTTCACATATTCAAACTTGTATTAAATGAAACTGTATGTTCCACATAGTCTGCATTTATAAATACTGTATATATTTTTTTCTAACGTTAACAATATATTATTGTGTAGAAACGTCTTGTAGAATATTTATGCCAAAAGTGATTAGACATATGTTTCCTCAGTAATTTCGCTGCTAGGATTCTGTATTGTTACACGTGTTGATGGGATATCCGACACTCGAATAGTCCTGATATTACATTGGCCTACGGGATAAAATAATTTCGCTCTCATCTCGGGTGTCATAAACACATCCGTCATTTGTAGAGGAATAGGAGACGAGATCTCTAATTTACTCGGCAGATTTCTTAAAACTGGTGTTTTTTTCCGTTGTCGTAGTCTATAAATTCGATATTTTGAAATTATATACACAAGAGGTAATAATATTGCACAACATCCATGAATTATGCAAAATATAAGCCGTAACTTAATTTTAATGTCGAGAGTATTAGCTTCTTTATTTTCGTTTTTAAATATTTTCCGTAAAGCGGGTTTATAAAATAAAAGAATAATGAATACTCCCAGCAAATACATTTGAAGAATGCCTAACAGATATAATTTATAAAACTGTTGAGAGCGAGATGCCATAATTTCACCTAAAAGTTTAATTAGCAAAATTAATTAATAATATTTTTGGATAATTCGAAAAATATTTATTATATTTAAGGACTTACGTTTAAAAATCGCCCGAAATACGAATTACTACAGCGACTGAATTGCTTAATATGTTATCGATTTGCATAAAAATATGGAGAAATGCAAATTTTAATATCGGCTGTTCAAAATTTAATTTTCTGCGGCTTTATATTAAAAGTTATTGTTAACTTTATTAAAAACTAGCTGTTACCCGCGACTTCGTCAGCGGAGGTTTTGCAAGCAAACCCCATTTACATCCAATATTTCAATAACCATAGTAATTGTTATATAACACCTACCGCTGAAGAGAATTGCCGAAAATCAAACGAACTATTTTCAATTTGATCAATTTTCTGAAACGTTTACAATCGTTCTATAATCGAACCAATACGCAATAACAAATTCGAATTTAAAACNTTTCCTGTCGCAGACAAAACATTCTCGAAGTGCTGTATAACAACAAAGACTTATGCTTGGATCCCATATCCTCACATAGTTTTTCGAAAAATCTTGTCTTCAACGGCCTAGTTTTTATAAAGTTTACTGCATTAACTACATATTCTAAGGCCTGGTTCAATGTAGGACTCAGATATTTTGATGCGAGTGCTACCCTGTGAATAACGCAATGAGTTCACAGTGCATCAGGGTGCTTCGAAAAAGTACTTGTAATCCTTCATAACATCCGGACATAGAACGAGCACCATCAGCATAGCATACCAATGCATTTGGTCCACTCCAAATTATTTTCGGAAATAGAAATATCAAGGATCTCGAACAAGTTTTGAGCCTTAGCATCAGCAGTGATACTTATACAGAAGAGAAAGATCACCGATCGTAATGTTCACCATATCTACAGCAGCCGAAAGCAAGCAATTACTTTCACGTCCATTTCCAAACTAAGACAGTGCGAACGGTCTCCCAACGCCAAGCTAAACGCGCGGTGTATACGCTGCTAACGCGCGTTTAACCCAAATGTGTACTAGCCCTTAGGCCTAGCCTCGAGTCACTAAAAATGGCCGACACTCTTGAAAAGATGGATAATGTGTCGTTTCATCCGCCCGATGAAAGATACTCGTGCTTTATCACTAACAGGCCCACCAGTGGCCAAGCTGTCTTCGTACACTGAACACTGGGAGTTCAATCGTGGGTTCGCGCCTCGCTCGGACGGGCTGGCCACGTGGAGTTTTCCGAGTTTTCTCTACGGCTGTAACGCCTGGGGTCAGTTACCCTTAGAAAGACCTCCCGGGAGGCATCCCCTAGGCAGATCGCCAAGTGTTGTGTTGCCGTAACTTAACTAAACATACAAACAAACAAGCTCCATCATGGAACCAAAGAAAGTTCCCAAAGCCAGCAGCCCTTCGAATGCCATGTTAAATGTTTATTTATTCTTTACATTAGTCTTTTGTATTTGTTTTATATTAATTTATTATTGTTTTTAGTATTAAACACTATATTCTCTATAAAATATATTTGTGGTATGTCCGAGAACGATTTTTTCAAGCTCCGATGGTCTATAAAACAAAGACAAGTGTAAATAGCAAAATGTATTTATTACCAAAAGTTAGGTACAAACATGGTTATTTTTCGACATAATCACTGTGAAGATTGAGGCATTTGTTATATCTCTGGACGAGCTTTTCCATCCCCTCTTTATTCTTTATAGAATGTTACCGCCAGTGACTTGAGATGGACCTTAACATTGTTTTGAACATCGTCATTAGTCTCGAACCACTGCTCTCCTAGCTACGTTTTCAGTTCAGGGAAGAGATGGAAGTCGCTCGGCGCGAAATAGGGACAATACGCTGGGTGTTTAAAAAGTTCCAAGCTGGGTGGAAGTCTGAAAGGTGAAAGTCTTCACACCTTTAATGTGTGAAGACTTCCACCTCTTTCCTGAACTGAAAACGTGGCTAGGAGGGCAGAGGTTTGAGACTAACGACGATCTTCAAAACAACGTTAGGGTTCATCTCAAGTCACTGGCAGCAACATTCTATGGCAAGAAGATGGAAAAGCTCGTCCAGAGATATGACAAATGCCCCAATCTTAACGGTGATTATGTCGAAAAGTAACCATGTTTCATACCTAACTTTTGGTAATAAATTCATTTTGTTATTTACACTTGTTTTCTTTATGAACCATCGAAGCTTGAAAAAACAGCCTACATATTTTGGAGTGTCTGGAACGAATTAATTGGATTTACATTGATTCATAAGGAAATAATTACCTCGGTTTTCGTCGGATTCGGATTTCGCCGATTGTTTTCGAATGGATTATCGAGGGAAACCGAAGTATCTCTGTATAAGGAAAAAATGGTTAGCTAAAGAAATGAAAGTTTTAAAACAAATCTGTCCACAAGATTCAATACCTTGACACTGATAAAAATGCTTCAAAAACCGTTAAAATTCACGTAGATATTAACACATTTGCATGTTATACATTTTTCACCAATTCCTATTCATTAATAATTGGAACATAACGATTATTCCCGACAGCAAAGGAATTTTATTATGAGGAAAGAACGGCGGGGACAAAAATATCTGTATGTAATGTAATATGAATAGTCCCTTTCCTGGTTATAATTTTATACAAAAAAAAGTTCCTTTGAAATGAATGGTCAGAGACAAAATAATCTTCCATACATAGAACAATTTAAAGAAATTCGATAAATATATTGAGATGGCGATAAAAATTGACCTTATGGTCTAAAAAGATTTAAAAATTTAGATTCAAAGTTGATATTCTCACATTGTTTCATAAAATTTAAACCACTGTATAGCATATTTTGCAATTTAAACAGTCAGCAACTTATATAAAATGTAACTAAGTAATAATCATTTGTAAACTTAATTATGAAATCTCATGGGTCAAATCAATGTGTCAAAAATCTCATGGGTAATTCCTCTTTTGGATATCGAGTAAAAATAAGGATATAATAAAAGTCTTGATGACTTGATGTCCGAGGCGTTAAAAACCTCTTGAGAGACATATGGCAGATGGCTCGTGTCGAGTAAAACCAAACCAATCCAGCACTGTGGGGATCCGAAATCAACTCCTATGTGCAACCCCAGGTATTTTTTGGGGATATGTCAGGTCCCTTCTCTGATCATCCGGCAAATGTTTAACACAGGAATAAAGTGTCCTAGAGTCGCGCAATTGAACACTGTGCGCTCCTATCGTGAGTCTTGCCGAACACATGACGGGCATAGATAAATGGCCCTGTTAGTGACCACTGAGCGGAAAGAATTAAAAATGAAAGAAAGAGCCAATTTTGTAATAGTATACTGTATTTGCAAATGAACATTTTTATAAGAAATTCAGAACAAAAATTTTGAAAACAATACTACCTTTATAGTGGGTTATACAAAATACCGAATATAATCGGAATTTTAAAAAATCAAATTTATATTATTACGAAAAAGGATATCTTTGATAATTTTAACATACAAGATCATTTTCTTTATTTTAGTAGAAATGTAAATAATTCATCTTCAATGAATTTTGTACATTGCTGTGATTTATGTAAATCAACTCAGACGATATAATCAAGGGAAATGGCAACGAATCTTTCGATTTTACTGACAATTGGACGGTGTTGTGCAAAATTAGTGTAAGTCAATTTTTTTTTAATTTTAGATTTGTTAAATTTTAAGCATGTAAATGATTTATTCGTAATGTTTTTTGTAGGATCAGAATGGAACAGAACGAGGTAGTGCAAGAAGAGAGCCGATTGCAACGCTGTTTGAGATGTCTCTTAAACTGGAAGTCCATTTATCATTTCCTATTACTCTATTTTCCAGTAGCTATAATTTTGTTAGGTGCTTGCCTTTATTACGCTCTGCTATTGCCTAATAACCATTTAAAAGCTATTCTTCTCTCTATATTTTGTTTCCCGTTTCTTCTACTGGCTATCAAAATGATGTGGGGTTGTATAAAGGATCTTATACCTGTGTTGGTTCGACTATTTCGCAACGCCAATCCTGACAACGCCATTCCTGAACCTGCAGTCGAATATGTAAGAGGAGCAGACTCGGTAAGAGTAAGAGAACATCCTGTTCAGTGAAATTACCGAGTGACCAAATTCGTGACGCTGTTTTTTTACAACGAATGGATTTATGTTCGGTTTTTAAAAGAGACTTTTTTAGCTAAAAGTCAGATTTTATAAGATTGTGGTCTTAAATAAAATTTTTCTGATATCCTTAATTTGTTAATCTTCATTATTATTAATCGGTCGACTTAAAAACTAACGAAACGTAAAAATTTGAATAGTACTAATATTACGTTTTAATATTTTTCGTATACTTTGTTTCAAATCCGGTTTAGTAAATTTTAAAAATTGCTGCAAAGGCTGCTATTCTGGCTATTATACAGCCTATTTTTATTACTGAATTGTTTAATCAAAACTAAGCAGAAGATTTTATTAAAACCTTGTCAATGCTTTGAATAAAATCTGGTCTTCGTTTGGTGGGATAAAACGTCACGTGACTTCAAGATGGTGCCTCCCCGAAAGAACTTTTTTACACGATAACAGAAATACCATACTTTGTGACCATCTGAATACACTCGCTTTAGTAAATGTGATTTTCCTATTGAAATCATTAAGAAACAATAATCAGTTCGGTAGACAGGTGTCTCGACTACTCACAATAACATTTTATGTACAAGTACCTGTACATAAATAACTCCCAATTATTATTTCAAAGTTGTCACACAAACTAGTTTAGAATAATACTCTTTAAAAATATTCCAGTTTATGTAAAAACGAACACAGAAAAAAATAAACCAGCAACGAGTTACTCAACTTTCCCGGCAACATTTAAAATTTTGGTGGCGCCATCTGTTGTTATTTCATTAAACGTTTTACATTTTTATTTATACCTTTTTTATAAAACGGCAGAAAGCTCTATTTTAAGGAAAGGTTGGGTTTTATAAAAATTGTAAATGCTAACGAGTAAAATCGTCATTAAGTCCGACCCTATTGGTGATATACACGCCCCCATTATCTCCCACCCCGTCGACCTTTAACCACCAAATTTAACAGCATCAATTCCATAATAAACCTCCCCTCAAAATTTCAAAAAATTTTTTTACAAAAAGCACAAGTTATTGAGCTTCAAAAAGAGGGTAAACAAAACAGTGTCTTCCCACACACACTACCTACCCTCGACTTTTTTTCCATTTCTCGACGTTTAAGGTTTCCGAAGTCCAATAATGTGAAAACTTTTTTGGGGGGTTAGTTTTTGACCGATCGCAGTACTTTGCCATTATTTTACTTTCCGGGCTGTTATATATATATCATGTATAAATTGCGATATCATTCAAGAAATGTGACATGATCAAGTCGAAAGTGAATTGTCACTATTGTTCAATTGTTTTTATTTGAAGTACAGTACAGGGCCTCCGATAGATTTTACGGGATAGGGAAGAGAAGCGGGCCTCTTTTGCCATTTATTTTTGAACAAACGAAATACGTAGAATCTTTATTAATAAAAATAACACTCTTAAATATTTTATTTTTAATTAGTGAAAATAATACTAATTTGTAAGCGTAAGAATCATTTGTGGTTGTCAGTTCCCGCGCTTTCGATGGCCCTGATAAAGTATAATTTTGATATTATCAAACCAAGCAAATTTCGAATTTAGACGGTTCGGTCGAGAACGTCCACGCCTAACGAAGCCCGGGTATGGTTTGAGTATTTCTTCAAAATGTAATTCATGCGATACTGTAAGAAGACGACGACATCGAAATATAAATTTCTATATTATGTAAAACATTCACTTCGAATTAATTTTAATATAATACTGACATTACGGTCTGAAAGGTGAAAGTTTTCATACATTAAAGGTATGTGAAGACTTCCATCCATCCAGCTTGGAACTTTTTAAACATCCAGCGTATAACCCCGATTTTCGCCGAGCAACTTCCACCTCTTTCCTGGACTGAAAACGGAGCTAGCAGGGCAGAGGTTAGAGACAAATGACGATATTCAAAACAACGTTATGGCCCATCTCAAGTCACTGGCGGCAACATTCTATGAAGAAGTATACCTAACTTTTGGTAATAAATTAATTTTGTTATTTAAATTTGTCTTTATTTTATGGACCAACGGAGGTTGAATAAAAACAGCTTACGTATTTGAACTTTAAAATTTCCGTATATTATTACGGCAGTTTCAGTAAAAACTTATTATGTTTAATGATAATTTTTTTTAAATCCTAAAGTAACGATTTAATTCAGAAAAACCATCTAATGTGGCAATATGCAAATGATTCGCGATGTTAAAAAGCATGCGGTAGGCCGTCTTCGCAGGACGTTTTAAAGGAAGAAAATAGTAATAGAAAATAAGTAAGTTATTCTTAAAGTATCCTCTTTAGATTATAAAATTTTCTAATACGTTAAGTATTGCGTTACTGTAGATTTTGCTAATGGAACAAGACCGGAGAGTGAATCAAGAGACATCTTTCCAAAGATTCCTTCGATATGCGAAGATGTGGAATTCTAAATATTATTATCCAGTTATTTATTGCCCTATAATAATATGTATTTTGGTAACTTTATCATATATCTTATGGGACGGTCCTGGAATACTGTTGGTGAGTTCGATACTTCTTTTGGAAGTTTTATGTCTAATTATTGCAGTCTGTGTAGGTATTTGCATATCAAATCGTCATAGACAAGTACCTCAACCTGAAGCAAACCAAGACATTCCGTTATTCGAGATGTTGAACGTATAATTGAATATTAGACGAGAAAATAATGGAATAAACTTAAATTGACTAAATTGGAAAATGTAATCTGCTTTTAGAACAGAAAGAAAATTTTTTAGGACGACAAACTTTTTAGATATGTCTTAAGTTCTTAGCAGAGTGTTTGTATTGTTTATACATTTTTTTATCTTGTACAAGAACTTGAAATAAATCTTTGGTTTTAACGAAAAATCTATTCGAATGAAAATTTACTAAATTGGCATGGGTATTTTACGTGTAAAAAAAAAATCTAGAAACGAGAATTGTGTAACTTTCCCGGCTATTATAAAGTTTTTAAAATAAAAACTCATATTACTAAGCAAACGATAAAATTTGTGTGTGGCACCACCTCTTATCAGAATGTGTTATAAAAACTTAATTTTTTAATTACTATAAAATGGCAAAAAACTTTATTTTGGGGGTAGGAGTGAGTAGACTAGTGCCTAGTATAATGTTGTTTGTTTAATTATTGTACGATATAAGGATTATTATATCTAATTATTCTTAATATAATGTTTTACTATATCGCCCAGAAAATTGTTCTTCGCCCCCAAAATATAAATTGTTACTAATCGCCCACTCAACATGGAAAAACGCTCACATGGGGGCGATATCGCTCCCATTGAGAAACACTGGTTTAAATTGTCAAATGCTACAGAAAAATTCATCTATGTAAATCAGCAATTTTTTAACGTCACTTTTTATTGTCAAATAAGGTGAATTGGGTATGGATGGATATACGAACCATGACTTCACCATACAGTATAAGTTAATGAATGCCGAACGAGAGTCATTGCTAGCAAGATGATCGAATGTGACACGTGTAATAAAATATTCGGTAATTTTTCGAAATTTCAGAATAACATTGTAAAACCCGAATAATATTAAAATTAGCCATCAAATCTTTTCATAGTTATAGAATCGACATACACTGTCATCATAGTGTTCCCAATTTTTATTGACACTTCTTTCAATGCAGGAATCCATCTTGACACACGATTTGCATCTAATAGAATAGAGTCGTTTCCTATGTTAACGAAAATGCTTGCACTAGCGATGACGAACAACGGTGCACAATGTGCGCCCATTCTAAATACACCTGTAATAAATAGGATTCACATTTCTTATCTGTTTTGTGTGTTTTATCCTAATTTTAAACCCAGATATTTTGGATTTTTCTTCCATTTGAATTGCAAGATTATAGATTGAATTGCATTATAAAAAAAAACGAGTATTTAAAACAATTACTAAATTTATTTTTTATGAGTAAGCATAAATTGCTTGACAGAAGGAATTCGTTCTCTCAAGCAATTTTATGCTTAGTCATAACAATTACAACGAGAACTAAAGGTAATCAAGTACGAAATTTCTTTAATTTATGGCTATATATAAACGTTCTCCTAAGCATAAATTCAAGTTTAATTTATAATTTCAGATATGTTATTGTGTTGTTTTATTAATTTTAATATTATGGAATATATTGTATTTCAGACTTGTTACTGTGTTTTCGGAATTATGAATATGATTTCCAAATACATTTGTAAAATAATTAGTCTGAGTATGATGGAAGGATACTTGTTGGGTGTTTTCGTCAGTCTTTTTGTGACTTTAGCGAGAGAACCGCCAGATATTAATCATTGGAAAAAAAATACAATTGAAATGAGACTACATTATATCTTCTGCATTATTCACGGATGTTTCGCAGTCGTTATACCGTGTTATCTTTCGTTTAAATTTCTTTTAGCCTGTGTTTCAGACAAGCTTCCAGTTCGAGAAGTACAAACTGAAACATTTTTGCCCTTTTCCACTGCAAGAGAAATGTCTTTACCAGTTACGCTATCTAAACCGATATTATATCGGAGATCTACACCGAATTTATGGTATTCTGTACGAGAGAATACTACTGGAATAGAGAACAAATTACGTAATGATAATATCCACACAACAGATTCAACTATCGTTGAAATTGCACTATAAATAGTAAAAATATAGTAAATATTATCTTTAGATTAATTCAAGCGATTGCTGCAAAAATTTAATTCTTTTTATTCTTTATAATTAATGTATTAAAGAATTACGCATACATCAAAAACATCTTAGCACAACAAAAAAGTTTTAAATAAATGTATTAAAAAATTTGATTAAAGTTAATGTAACGTGCAATTATTTTGCATACAAATGCCATATATCAATGTTACATATTACTTCTAAATAACTTTAATAAAGGATAATTAAATCTTAAAACTATTGGATTTTTTTCATTTTATTTCATTTTTTTAAGTACAGGTAACCCCCGTATAACACGGCACTTCTATAGCTGGTTTCACTCTAATACGGTTCGAGAATTGGTACCATCCCCCGTATAACACGGTACTCTGACACGGTTCGAGAAATGGGTAAAACCCTCGTACAACATGAAATGTAATAAATTTTCACATACTTAAGTACTAATAGTTCACGAAAATTATTATTTTCGTGAACTATTAGTACTTCAGTGTGTAAATTTTCTTTTCTCGTCTCCATACACATGGTCCTTCGCGAAAATTGTTTCAATTTTGCCAGATCTCGACGCTTCTGCTTCTGGTGTTGCCAGATGTTTTTCCCTTATTCCATAAGTGCTTAGCACCATATAAGGAAATTTATAAAGATCTTTTAACTAGAAGCAAGCAATCTAAAATTACATACACTTTTTGCAAAAGGTAAAGCATGAATCTGAAAATAATGCAGAAAAATGCTCAGAGGATAACGATAACTTGCCAAAAATAAAACGCTCTCGGTTAATATTGCTTTTAGTGATGACAAAGAAAACATTGTTTAATTTATATTAATATGTATTACTTAAGAAAATTTTAATAAAGATATATTTATCTTAATTATGAAAATGTAGTAGCATGTTTTTTTTAATTTTTGGAACCTAACCCTCCTTTTCGTACTAGTTCTTTGTTTCGCATAACACGGCAATTTTTTGGAACGTAACTACCGTGTTATACGGGGGTTACCTGTATATAAGTTACAAGTTTAACTTCCTGCCAGAGAACTTCTCTTGAGGGAATAAGTTAACATTGTTAATTATAATGAAACTTTTGGATAAATATAAAATTTTTGCGATTACGAAAAAGCAAAAGAATGAGTTAAAAATAATGATAATCACGACCTCAATCAAAAATGAAAGTTAATATTAAACAATAAGCATGTTAACTTTATGTGTTATGATGTTTTTATTGTGTAGTCAAATTATTTTTAATAAGAATATTTAAACATGTTCTTATTAAAAAATAATTAAATCAGATATGGTCTGAAAAATATGCTGAACTGTTCCTTATTGAACTATAGGCTATGGCTAAATATTTTAATTTGCTGTGAGTCCGTCTACCAAAAAACCTTTTGGATTACAGAGACGAATTATATACATAGTAACATACAGCAGTCCAGATACAGAATTAAATATTTTAAGGCAAAATATGAATTCATACAATACAAAGATCTACGAAATTTATCTTAGTACCTTAGGCTTTTTTCTATTTTTAAAAAAAGCAATTCATTGCACCAAATGTAGACCTAATAAAAATTAAACGTCAAAAGCGAACAGTTATTGTTGATATTTACTATCTATTTTTTTTTTTAATTTGGCAGATTTAAATAATTCGATTAAGTTTCGCAATAGTTTAATACAATAGATCTTATGCTATTCAAACTAAGACAACAGAGCAAAACAATAAAATAATTATCACATTAAATAAATACAACTGAAAATAAATATAAAGTAATTTGTACCATAAATTAGTTTGAAAATCAACACGTATTTATTCTTTCCGAAAATATAAATAATGCTAAATTCATTTAGGTGAACGAACATATATTCTCGTTGAATAATTTTATATACCGGTAATTAAAAACATTCAAATTGATTCATTTCTACGAATAGTATCAATAAATTATAGATTTATGCAAATAAGTGAAGAATATAAAAAAATGTAATTTCACTTAATTAAAATGTTTAAATACTGTATATTGAAAATGTAAGTGATTTTAAATAGATTTCGTTATTTATTTTTCATTGTATATTTTATATTTTAAGTGCTTGTATATACAGGGTGTTCATAAAGTCTGTGTGCAATTTAAAAAATTTATAACTTTATTAGTGTTTGTGATAGAAAAAAAAAAAATCTGTAACATTATTATAAAGCTTAATGTACCAAGTTTCAAGTAAAATTATTTAATAACTCTTCGACACACTAATTTAACAATTTTTCGAAATTTTAAAAATACTTCTTTTTTTCAGAATTACGTGTGACCCATGGCTTCAACTGAACAAAAAGTAAACTATGTCCTTTGGTTGGCTGAATCGAAATCTCGATTGTTAAAAGACTTTAAAGCTAAAATAACTAATGTGATTTCAGGCATTACTGTAAATCAATTGGCAAATGTTTTTAGAGAACCACAAAATCGTATTACCTTTATTACTAATGATGGTGAACATGTAAAAACTTAATAAAATACAATAAAACAAAAAGAAATATATAGATGTTTTTATTTACAATACATTCTACATAATTTCTCTATCAAAAACACTAATAAAGTTATAAATTTTTAAAATTGCACACGGACTTTATGGATACCCTGTATAGACACCGTGTCCAGAAAATTGAAAAATCCAGATTACTTCTGGTTCTAAGGTTGCCTGATATTTGGCCCAGTAATATACAGTAGACCATCTCTGACTATATATTTCGTAAAAGGCCCAAAAATTTGTTTTGTCTTACATCGGCTAATTGGGCATGAGCTTCTAGGCTATATCGTCCCGTGGTAAACTATTATTACTGTCATGTAATAATAGTTTTACGCGTTTATGATGGTGGTTACGCGGGAATTAATGCCTTCCGTGAAGTCTTTTAAGGGTAACTGGCCCCTATTTAGGCGTTACAGACGTGGAGAAAACCCGGAAAACAAGTGGTCAGCCCGTCCGAGCGAGGCGTGAACCCACGACAGCACTCCCTGTGTTCAGGGAACGGAACAGCTTGGCCACTGATGGATCCTTATACAGGCTTACAACTCACATATTCTGTGCAATTTCTACAGTTTCGAATAACGATTTTTCTTGGCTATTAACGTTTGGATTTGTAACTATTAACGGAACTATATCTATATTTAAATTATCCTGTTTTTAAATTTTGAATATCTCTTTTGTCTGTTTGAGGTCTCATACTATCCAAATAAGACAAAAAAAAAAAGATAACTGTAGCCATAAATTATTAAGAAAATCAAAATCGATCAGACTTAATTTCTTCTTTTCTAAAATATAAATAATGCTAAATTTATTCTCTTTTAATAATTTTATGTAATTAAAAAAAATTAAAATAAAGTAATTTCTACTAATAATCTTAATTAACGATACTTTTATGCAAATCAGTGAAGAATATAAAAGATGTAATTCAGTTACAGTGTAAGGCGATTTTGAAATTTCAGGGATTTCAGGTAATCAGAATATTTAAATATATGAAAATTTAAGTGAATATTTGATTGTAAATATATATTTCAGAAAGAATATTCGATAAATGATGGCTAATGACGATTCGATAAATGATGGCTGGAGAGATGCTGGTTTGATATTTGGCATAAGTATACTTCAAGGATATTTAATGGGAGTTTTTGTTACACTCTTAATAAACATTATCAAGGAACCGATGACTAATTACGAAGCAATAAAAATCACTCCCGAAAAAAAACTTCGATTTGTTTTATGTATTATTCATGGATGTTTGGCTTTTGTTGTAATGTTATATGCTTCCTATAGATTAACTTCAGTACAAAAGAAACCAAAAGTATCTGTTCGATCTCCTCCAAGAAAACTGAAAGCACCTCCTACTCCTCATCCAATAAAGTTATCATAAAATTATAACTAAGAACAGTATTTCCTCCCACTCTTCTTAATTCTGTTATTGTAAAGAAAAATTAGAACCTTTCTTTAAAAAGATGTATCTGAGAAACTGTTAATATTTATTGTAAAATTTTCTTTATATTGAAAATAAAGTGGTTTGAATCTAAAAAGAATTATTCACTAAATAAAAAAATTCCAGTTAAAATAATTCGTTATAATTATTTTTAAGAGTAAAATCGTAATAAATTTTCGTATATTTGGTTATCATTTGTAACTTGCTCTTAAAGTTATTTCCAAAAATTCTTTTCTTTTACAATAAATATATTTAAATGAAGTTTTGGAATAACCTTAGAATGGTTAATTAATACAATATCGTTCGTAACATTATACAAACTATAGTCGAAGTAGTGAAAAAGTTACCCTGAACTGGAAGGGTCTATGGAGATACGTGAAAATTAAGACTTTATATTTTATTCGTAATTTAATTTAGATTATTTGAAGTGAGAAACATGATATTAATTTCATTATCAGCTGGTGGAAGTTTATGCAAATTGATGATTATTAGAAGAAACGAAAGAAAATTCTCTTGAGAAGAACGAAACAATCAAGAATTTATTTCTCATAAGTAATTAATGCGATTTGCAAAGTTTGAAAAAAAAAGGCATAATTAATATTTACTGTTATGTATTTCAGGTCAGATTATCGGATTATGGCTTTCAACTGGAAGAAGTGGCGCATGGTTGTTTTCTTTAGTTTCCTTCAGTGTTATTTCTTTTCTGCATTTCTTGGCCTTTTAGTCTATACTTTAAATGACCCACCAAATTTTGACGATTGGAACAAAAATACAAGTAAAATCAAATTACGTTTTGTGCTTTGCGTTATTCATGGAATAGGCGCTATATCATTGGCGTGCTTTCTTGGATGTAAAGCAATTTTAAAACAATGTGAACATCGTAATGGAGATAATTTGAGATTTTCTACTATTAAGGATATTGAAGAAACTTCATCAGATAGTAATTTAATATCCATGTCTCGCTTTTCAGAAGTTATGTTCGATTTAAGGACTATAAATGAATTACAAATCCCAGTAGCAGAATTTAAGTTTCCTTCATCCAACCGTTTAAATACTGATGATATTAATATGTCTGGTTCAGTATCGAGTCTGGATTCAACTACATCAGTTTATATCTATCATCCTAGAAATCGTTTAACACCTAAAAAAGAGTTATACCATTATTTTGTATAAAGAAAACAGCAATGATTCATCTTCAATGCATTCTAATTAAATGACCATAGCATTTAAATCTTTCCAATGACGACTACAAAGATACGATGCGTATGAAATATTCTTTTTATGGGCAGTATTTAACAAAAATGTTAAGTAAGATGACGTTAAAATATATATAAAGAACTATTCGAAATGTTAATAAAATGCCTTAAAGCTGATTAATTTATTGATATTGTTTAAAGTCTCTTTTCTCTGAATCTAAGCTTCAGTTAAATGCCGATTTTATTAAATGTTAATTTTAATTTGAACTTCCATATTCTCTAACAATACACATTCTATCGCTGTATTAATTTACGAAACTGTCATTTTCTTAAATAAAGACAATAATGATAGCAAAAATTAATGCCAAAAGTTCATTGGTGAAAAAACAGATACGCGATGATAATCATTGATCATAAATGCAAATTTGTCACTGGTAAAATCTGTTGATTTTTTTTTTTGTTGTTGTTGTTGTTGAAAATATTACTATTTGATAAACTATCAATTTAAAATGATTAAAGATATTTTATGCAAATTATTACTTCTATAAAACTTTCCGTAAAGTGTAGGACAAACAACTTAACATATCCATATAAACACTGAAGAAGAAGAAGAAGAAGAAGGACAAACAACTTAGAAATAAAAACTTAGGTAACTATGCTTATACATTTTTAATTATAAATTACTTTTAAAGTTACATCTTATAATAAATAAAACTCTTTATAGGTTATAAAAGGTATTTATAATATTGAAAAATGAGTCTAAAATGGAAGGAATTTGGAAAAATTCTGATTATTGCTGCTGTGCAATTTTATCTTCTATTATCGTCTATTGGTCTTCTAACGTATTCAGTGAACGAACCTATTAAACTAAATATTTTAATTGGCGTAATAAATGGATTATGTTGTATATTTTTGGGCTACGTACAGTACATTGCGTACAGTAGCTCTTCCAAATTTATATGCATGGACTGTTCAAGACTCAAGCTTTCGAATGAAAAGCATGATAATAGTGAAGGTCTTTCTGAGAATTCTAGTGAAGCCGACTTAATTCTCTCCTCAAAAAGTGTGAATAGGAATACTCTGACCTGGAATGAACTCGCAACTGTTCGACATGCTAGACCTGCATGCAAAGTACGAATAAATGCGCCGTGGAAGATACCATCGAGGAGAGAAGTTTCTAATAACTCTCGAGACGACCGTGGTATAGAACTTGATGATATGTCACCCTCCATTTTATCATCGGCTGCAGAAAATGTAATAGGAGTTATAGAGGAAAACTAAAACTTCAAGTCATAATCTAAACTTTTAACCTAATTTTTTTAAATACAGTAATTAAATACTTCTTCTTTCTTATTCTTATCTTTAATTGCTAGACTTTGTAATGACACAGAAAAGAGAATACTTAAAGATTTTCTTTTCAAGTAACCCTTTTGACATTAATAAAGTTTTAATACTATTTATATGATTTTAATTTTATTTATTATTAGATGTTACCCGCGAATTCGCCCGCGGAGATTTTGCAAGCAAACCCCATTTATATTCAATATTTCAACAACCATAGTAATTGTTATATAACACCTACCGCCGAGAATGATGAGAATTGCTGAGAATCAAACAAACTATTTTCAATTTGATCAATTTTCTGGAACGTTTACAATCGTTCTATAATCGAAACAATATGCAATAACAAATTCGAATTTAAAACGGTTCGAACATTTTTAAAATCGAAATAGATAAAAATATTTATAACAATGTCTGAAATGTTATTAATTTAATACACTTAAGTACTCAATGNAGATTGTTGAAAGTTACCCGAACCGTAAATTCAATTAATTGCGCGAATTTTTTAAGTAATTAATTGAAAATTACTGAAATATCAAAGGGTTTGAATATTTTGGATGTCATATTTTACGACTTTTCTTTGTAACTTTCGGAATTAGAAAATAATGTTTTAATTTTTTTAAACATATATTTGATAGACATTACCAAAACACATAATTTTGAGAGGTGATCCATACAAAAAGCAGAATTATAAACAAAAAAACATAGAATTACTTTTCGAGTGTGCACCTTCGATACGCGATTGCTTAAGGGGTCAGTTTGTTAAGTTATGGCAACGCAACACTTTTTGCGATCTGTCCTTCTTTGTGTGCATTCCCATGGCGTACCATACTAAAACGCAGTAAACAGTAGAATAACTTCAGCAACACAAACAAATAGTAAAAGAACAAGTAATATTTTGCTTGTACCTTTAAAGTATTATCTCCATTAATATAGCAACATTATTAATTATCGATACCAATCATATTTGTATGGCATTTCAAATCATTCATTATACAAATATTTTTAGTTCTACATATCTGTATTTAACTTCATTGTATTTATTCGTTATGTAAAATACGGATGGGATACAAATACCACCCACCAAATTTTGACGATTGGAACAAAAATACAAGTAAAATCAAATTACGTTTTGTGCTTTGCGTTATTCATGGAATAGGCGCTATATCATTGGATGTAAAGCAATTTTAAAACAATGTGAACATCGTAATGGAGATAATTTGAGATTTTCTACTATTNGCTTGTACCTTTAAAGTATTATCTCCATTAATATAGCAACATTATTAATTATCGATACCAATCATATTTGTATGGCATTTCAAATTATTCATTATACAAATATTTTTAGTTCTACATATCTGTATTTAACTTCATTGTATTTATTCGTTATGTAAAATACGGATGGGATACAAATACCAGAAGATGACCTAACTATTAAAGATAAAGAATTTTCCCAAGTTATTTCGAAATTAAATAAAAGAAATAATTCATCTTAAAAAAGAAAACGAATCACAGAAGAAAAAATTATTAATATCGGTGCAAAAAAAATTAAAGATTGACCCGAAGAAGGGGTTTTGAATGGACTGAAATTAAGATTTCTACTAGGAAGAAGGGGGATATAATTTTTTGTGTTCTATGAATTTTCCTATCCCTTCATATAGCACATTTAACATAAGCATCTTCGTGGATTTAAAATGCAGTTTAGAAAACAAGATGTTATCGCAGTTTTGAAAACGAAAGTCGAATCCATGAATGTTTTTGAAAAGGATTGTGCATTGAGTATAGATAAAATGGTACTATTTTATGACCAAACAACAAAAACTTTACAAATGCCCATGTAGGAAATCATTTGACGGTTACGGTTGGAATTATTTAATTTAATACAAATTGGAAATAGAGTGTAGCTATTCACGTTACTGGTTCTACTAAAATGATTGCGAATTAAATGCAAATTTTAGATAAATTACTGAAGCAGAATTCGGTGTACATGCTATACGTTTTCATATGAATTCAAGTAATAAAGCACTTCGATTTCTTTACGAATTTCTGTAGCAAAATCTGACTGAAACCATAATTTTACATATAATAATAATAATAATAATAATGGTATTTGTGTATTAGAAGATGTTCTCCATTTATTAAAAAATGACATAGAACAATGCTAAATTCTAAATTTAATTTTCTAGAATTTGTAGTAAGAAAGATTTGCCATCTGCAGTAGTATCATCGAAAAACTTTATAGAATTATGGAAAAACAACTAAGCATGACTAGTGGACTACGTTTACTCCATTTAAATAAGTCGTATTTATCCTTTGCATTTTGAAAAGAACCGCTAGTTGCTTAACTTTCCCGGCAAAAACACTTAAAATTGAGTCTGGCACCATTTCCATCACCAATGAAACCAATGAAATGGCGCCAGACTCAATGGAAATGGAATCTTTTGACTAATTTCAGAAATTTTCGGCAAGTACTGAAGTTATTAAGCTTCCAGCTGGATGAATAAAATCGTGTCCCCTACACACTAACATCCATAAACATAGAAAAAATTTTAATGTTTTTTTCTTTTTCTTTTTTAAATTTTCGACATTTTCCGAGTCGAAAAAAATGTAAAAATCATACGGGAGTAAGGGTATGGCATTCAGTTATTTTTTGACCGACCAACGTAAAATAATTCAAACAAAAGGAATTTAAATGATGATTTTAATGAGCAATTTTAAAAGAATATAAACCAAATTATCTATTGTAAAATTCAATTATTTCTAATAATCTCTGACGAAATCAAATATTGATCTCACTTCTTTACAAAATTCTTTAACGAATTTTTCCTTAGCGGTTAATTCAACCTCGGATTTTCTCCAGCCTATTTTATATTGTAATGTTCTCCAAATATTACCCAGATATTCCAAAACACTTTCTATCGTTTTATTCTGCACAAAAGATAAATCCATTTTTTTAACCTTTATTTCTGTCTTCTCTTCGGACAGTTTGATTCCTGAATTTTTGGGTAAATTACGAAGATCTTTCTCGGATTTACAGTAATTATCATCAAATAATGTTTCATTAAATTCTAAAACAAGTTTAGAAAACAATAATTTTAATTGTTTGATAATCTTAAGAAGTAGTTTATTCGGAAATTTCGAAATTAAAAGTTTTACCTGTAAATTCTGATAATTGACTATAATTTATTTTAATCATTATAAAAATCGTATTGATCGTTGATAGAAAAAGTAGAAATATTAAAATTTCTTCTATAATTTTCATTTTTTCTCTTCTTAAAATTTTTCCAAAGCTTTATTGAAAGTTCAAATAATGAAAATTAATTGTTGCAGTTAATTAAGATTGTTGAAAGTTACCCGAACCGTAAATTCAATTAATTGCGCGAATTCTTTAAGTAATTAACTGAAAATTACTGAAATATCAAAGGGTTTGAATATTTTGGATGTCATATTTTACGACTTTTCTTTGTAACTTTCGGAATTAGAAAATAATGTTTTAATTTTTTTAAACATATATTTGATAGACATTACCAAAACACATAATTTTGAGAGGTGATCCATACAAAAAGCAGAATTATAAACAAAAAAACATAGAATTACTTTTCGAGTGTGCACCTTCGATACGCGATTGCTTAAGGGGTCAGTTTGTTTGTTAAGTTATGGCAACGCAACACTTTTTGCGATCTGTATAGGGGATGCCTTACGAGAGGTATCGTTAAGGGAAACTGGTCCCTATTTAGGCGTTATAGACGTGGAGAAAACCCAGAAAACTCCACGTAGCCAGCCCGTCCGAGAGAGGCTTGACACCACGACCAAACTCCCAATGTTCAGAGAACGAAGACCGTTTGGCCACTGATGAGCTACGACCCACTAGAAGTTAAGCTGTTCCTATCACTCTCCGCCGTATAGTGAATATTGCCAATTCACAATGAGTATGAATAAAAGGACCTCTTAGGGTATGCAGGGTAAGGTTGACAACTGAATAAAAATCTCTTTGGGGGACATGCTATTAAAATTGGGGATTTTGAATGAAAATTCAGGACTTTCATATGAAACAGCTTATTTCTTCAACATATATTTACTTTGAGATCGTACTACAGAAAGCTTTCCATCTTTTAATACTGTTGTATACATCTAGTAACAGAATTCCTTCCAATTCAACTTAACTATCAATTAACTATTTATTAATTTTATAGAACATTTATTTCTATTTTTTGTCCAAAACATGTTCATAAGGATATAAACACTTTCCAAAAAAGCATAAGTAGCTGGAATAGTCAAGCAAAATTACAATAATTCGATTAAGTTTCGCAATAGTTTAATACAATTGAAAATTTTTACCGTTTTTCTGGAACACTTAAATTTTCCATAAAACTTGTTACTTTTTTCTTTANAAGGATATAAACACTTTCCAAAAAAGCATAAGTAGCTGGAATAGTCAAGCAAAATTACAATAATTCGATTAAGTTTCGCAATAGTTTAATACAATTGAAAATTTTTACCGTTTTTCTGGAACACTTAAATTTTCCATAAAACTTGTTACTTTTTTCTTTAAAGCCACAGTTTAGCAAAAGCATCGTGTGATAACAATTGTATATTTATGTAATAAACGGTCATATCTGTATTATGTATATCCAACAGGTTTATGCCTTTTAAGTGTCATGGCGGAAGCGCGTTCAATTCGCTTGAAAGATGGCGGCCCGGTTCGGGGTCTGGTAGTCATATGTCGTTGGGAATAACCGTACAGAATGGCAAAATACGACTATTAAATTTAGGAATAATTTTGTCTGACGAAGATATTCAACTCTAGGCTTCTTATTTTTAAACTAGAAACTTATTTTTATCGCGGCAAAGTTCTACGGATAACAAAATTAAAGTTAAAATAAAAATATTTGTTTAAGCAGGTCGAGTGCCGAGCCTGCAGTCAATTATCGTGCATTCGAATATCGAATTATTCGAGTTGGGAGTAGTTCGTACACTGAGGCACCACTGTATATATTTCTAGCGCTGATATTTTAAATTAAGAATAATTTTGTAAAAGTCGCTTTTCGTGAAACCTCTCTCCTGTTATCACGTTTCCTTTTAATGATAAATTTTTTAGTACTTTAATTAAATTGGTTTAATTAACTGCAAGCATGAAGTTTCTGCTGCTTATAACTGTAATTATTTTTGTATTAATTCATATTTCGTATGAAGAAACTACGGATGAATTTTGCTGTAAGTAGGATGGATCATAATGATGATAATTTATAGCTACGAAACGAGCAATTATTTATTGTGACATCGTCGCAATGCCGGGCTGCAATTTTTAATCATATTTTTAATTAATTTAATTCAAAATGTGTGCTCTTCACCTTAAATTAGTAGCGGTTTGCCCCTGTACAGTACATCATACTTTTCATTTAACAATAGAGTCGTCTGTCTAACACCTTTCCGCGGAAAAGTTTTGAATTGACGTAAAGTAACTTTCGGAAGCTGTTATATAGTTAATCGGGCCTCCTGCCCTTAAGGTTTCCATATCTTGTCTTAGATTTCATCTGCCTAACTCTTTTCTAAAGACGGACGACAGTGGGAATTTATAGGTTATAAAAAAATGAAACAATTAATACTTTTCCCAATTTAACACATAACATGAGACAATTGTGGTATTCTTCAAGCATATTTCCACAATTAAAGGCCGTTGGAATGTACTGCAATTAACATTGCTTTGGTTTTCTTTGTTTTATTGAAAAAAAAACTATATTTTTAACTATACAAAGTAGGCATATACTAGTTTTATACATTCTCAGTCAAACATTTTATTATTATTTTTTTTTATTTGCATATTGCTTCTGTAAACAGTGGTACCGCAAATATAACCAAGAGTTCTACCATCAAATTTTCATTTTCCAAATGTACAGATATAAATTTAAGGATATGTGGCACCATCTAATTCCCACGACTAGTTAATCTACAAATTTTAAGTTTATCTGTATATTTTTTTATGTTCCTTGCAGAAATTATCACATTATGTAATTCTTATGATTTACGTGATTTTAAATAACTGAATCGGAAGGCAAGATATTTCATGCAAAAGCCCACTGTGTATTTGCATTTTAATTGTTGAATGATGTCAGTTTCGTTACATCATTGCTTATAACATCAAAGTTGACGGCAATTTTTCCTCTAAATTGTACGATAATAGGCCTACAGTACATATAAGTGGACTGTCTATTTTCATGCCGTCATTATCCCGAACAGTTTGTAGATATCTATCCTCTCCGAATGTTCTACGATAACACAACACAAGACCCTCTGTTCTATCTATAAGGAGATAGCCCGATGTAGTAAGTACAGGATTGTAAGGAGTGAGGAAATTGTAGGCTTTTAGAGGAACCCTACAATTTCCTCATTCCTTACAAATGAAAAGAACGCCATCGAGAGAAAATATTGCTTCGGCCGAAACAACTTGAAAGGTTAGAAATGTACAAAGCCTTCGTAGTTGAGACAGACTCTATTTCGTCAGGCTGAAGAGAGTGAAGTTTTTCTTATAAGTGAAGTTATAAAGTTATAAGTGAAGGTTTCTTCTTCCAATTGTCAGACTAGTAATATCTATCACGTCTTTCTTAATTATGGATAATTAACAGAGACCGAGATTAAAACAGTTCTCCTTTATTTCGCCTATTTCGGATTCGCGCTCACGGCTTCAGTGTCTCCAACATAACGAACAAAAGGTTAGTTCGTCTTAATATACTTTTGTTATCCACAATAATGGATATAGTGCACAATTTGTACACATCTTAATGATGTACAGTAGAGCCTCGATTATCCGACCTCCAATTAACCGTCTCCTCGGTTAACCGACCCTCCCAGTCGGCAAATTTCAAATGTCCGCTAGTGATGTAGCGCTACAATATTTGGCTATGTCTTGGCTACTTTAATATTATTTTTACGTGTTTTAGCTGGTGACACTCATTCGACCATGAAAGGGAGCCAGTATTTAAACGAGGCTTAATTTTCTAATTTTTAACGATACAATAGCGACGATTATTACTTTTAAAAAATTTTTGTTAGGCTTAACATCGATGAAAATTCAACGCGAAGTAGGTTAATAGCGATATACTAATATACTAGTTACATGGGATATAATAATATACTACACTAATAATGAATTTTTTCATACTTTTCGGTTATCCGACTTTTCAATTATCCGACCAACCCCAGTCCCCAATTGGGTCGGATTAGGGTTTCTCATTTCCCGGTCTTTTGCTTGTCCCGGGAAATCCCGGGATAGAATTAATTATTTTTAAGGTATACAAAATATCTTGAAATCAAATGATATAATTATTTTCCATTTTTTAAAGTAATTTTAAAGTTCTGTAACCTCCAAAATCATATTAATAATGCTGTGTAAGGTCTATAGGCCTATAATAAAAATTACCTTTAAATAACGTAGAAATTTTCACAAATAGAAAAAAATTAATTAAAGTTTGCTGGAAACTGCATACAACAACAACAAAAAAAAATTTTTTGAATTGAGTTAAAAATTAAAAAAAAGAACTTCTAATTTAGAAGGTAATTTTCGTTTTTTAAATAAAATATAATACAAAATATTGCAAACTTTTATAAGATTTTAAAAAGCAAAGATGGTCAATACTCCGATAACTCACTCTAATTCTTATTTTAGTAATGAAAAGTCTTGCCACCGAGAATGCCCTTTCCGATTCAATTGATGTGATTGGAATAGTGTTTAATGCATTTAAGAGAAGACAGATATTATGTGTTTTTTCACCTGTAGCCTGGAAGCTTTCGAGTTCGTTTTCGAGATTGTAGTACTTCTTTCGCTCTCTAGTATTCTTGATTTGTCTACCTTGGCTGCTTTAATAGCGGCATCAAGCTTAGAGCTCGATAATTCGGCAATTCATTTGGCTTTAATAATCAGGTTTATGAAGAAAAACTTCATACTTGCAGACTTTGTACTCGTTTGTATCCTTGCCCAATTTGCACAATCTGGCGTCAGGCATTTATTGAAGCTACCGGGCATGGTTAAAACTCAAGACAGCGTAAGCACAATTATTCCAGATATTACAGGTTCCGACAAGTAAAGAATTTTTATAGTCCTGCCACAAATAAGCTATATATTGATTATTGACCATTTGTGACATGCTATAACGAGCAAAAATTTAAAAAAAACTAATAGGTACTGTACGTTTAAAATTAATAAATACAAATGC